CCACATCCTCCCCTCTTCCGCCATGCCACACCCCTTCCCCTTTCCCTCACCCTCCCCTGCCAGGCCATCTCCCCACCCCAAAAGCCACAGCCCGCCCCTCCCCCCTCTCTGCAAAGCCATGCCCCTCCATGCCACTCTACACTCCCTCTAGATGCCATGGCCACCCTTTCGCATCCCTGCCCTCTCCTCTCCACCCTGCTCCCCTACCCCACTTCTGCAATGCCGCGCCACCAGCCCCTCACACCATGCCCCATCCCTGCCCTCACGCCATACCACGCCTCCTCCCCTCTCCCGCTATGCCACGCCCCCCCATAATATGCCCCTGCCATACCCCTCCCCCTCCCCGCAACGCCACGCCCTTCTGCCACGCAGCTCCATGCCACACCACCTCGTCATGCCCCTCCCCTCTCCTCATCATGCCCCTCTACGCCAGGCTCCTCCCCACCACACCACTTCAAAGTCACGGCCCTCCCCTCCCTTCCACACCATGCCCTGCAACGCCCACCCTCCCCCATCCACACCACACCATGCCACGCCCCTCCCCACGCCCTGCCTCTCCCTCCAGACCTCACCCCTCCATGCCACATCCCTCTCCTCTCCACCATGCCCTTCCACGAGACGCCCATCCACACACACACACACACCCCAGCCTTCACGGCGCCACAGTGGAACATGCTGCAGAGGCTTCCCTGCTCCTTACTTCCCACGCTCTGGACAGCAAGCTTTTCGTGGATGTCCAACTTCAGGACAGGAAGCACTCATCTTGGTTAATGGCACATAATTAGAAGACTTAGCAGAACATCACAAGTTTCACTTCTATCCTTCCATTTGCCTCGAAAAATCCATGATTTGTTCTTTAACCTTCGGTCTTAATATAGATAAGGTGTTTTGTTCTCTCCTGTTCTGCTTTATTTTTTAAACGTTTAATTATTCAGAGAGAGACAGGTACCCCCAGCAGGGTCCCCGTGCTACCCCGTGCCGGCCAGTCCAGATCATGGGCACACGAGGCTAGGCCTGGTGTGCCCTGGGTGGTCCCAGGACCTTCCCCGTGGGAACCCACTTGTTTTCCCACGGTACCACTGCCCAACCCCAGTGTTGTGAGGGTTTGCATCGTTTTCTTTCCTGGGGAAATGTATACATATTTTTCATTTATTTAGTCTATAAGCAGGAAAGAGAGGAAGAGACTGAGAAAGAGAGAGACTGAAAGATCCTTCGGTGCAGTCCTGTTGCCCCATCTACCCCAGCCTCATCCAGCCACAGATCGTGGGAACATGCACGCAGCTGGTGTGCTCGGAGAGGTCTCTGGGTGGGGACCTGGAATCTCCCCATGTGGGTTGTCTCAGAGTGTCACATTTCTGACCAGCATGCCACTGTCTGGCCCTCCTTTACATTGTCTACCACATGTGTCTTCGAAAGGTATTCCTACATGCTCATCATTTCAAATGTGCTTTCATGTATATCAGGGTCTAGAATGAGGCTTAGTTCCTAACAGTGAAGAGTTGCGAGGCCGGCAGGTGGCGTGGTGGTTAAAGACCCTGACTCCCATATAGCTGACTACAGGTCTAGTCCCAAACCTGGCAGCTTGCTTTCTCGCTTTATCTTACTCTGGCTCTGTCTCTCTATAGTTTACTTAATTAGTTAATTAAAATACATAAAATAATTCTTTTAAAAACAACTGGGGAGAAAAAATGGAGGGGTGGGGCATTTGTGGGACAGAGAG